TTGTTTGTTTGTTTTTTGAGACGGAGTTTCGCTCTTGTCACCCTGACTGGAGTGCAATGGCGCAATTTCAGCTCACTGCAACCTCCGCTTCCCAGTTCAAGCGATTCACCTGCCTCAGCCTCCCGAGTAGCTGCGATTACAGGCGCCCGCCACCATGCTCGACTGATTTTTGTATTTTCAGTAGAGACGGGGTTTCACCATGTTGGCCAGGCTGGTCTGGAACTCCTGACCTTAGGTGATCCACCCACCTCGAGCTCCCAAAGTTCTAGGATTACAGGCTTGAGCCACCGTGCCCAGCCTATGTTATCTTTTTAAAATTGCACAAATATGGTAACCACCGGTACAGAAAGGGTAAAGAATGCAAAAAGTGTAAAGAATTATTTGTACCTGATCGTGTTGTCATTTTTCGTGTTAATTTAAAACTCTATTAACTTAAAATGTGTTAATTGTGTTACAAAAGAGTGTGCTTGGAGATTAGTCATATTAGTAGTTTTCATTAGCAAGTCTTGACCTGTATAATGTTTATATTTTTGATAATGATAGTAGACTCTTCTGCGACCTATATATTTTTTATTAAGTTACCAAAACACGTCTCCCTAAAGAATTGTTTTGGTAACTTAATACCCTTAGACAGTATTAATTTGCAACTCATTGTTGTGAGATAACCTCAGATATTTACTGAAAATAAAATGGAACTTTAAATGTGTATTTGAACATTTTTAAATTATTTCTATGAATAAATTCTTTACTATGTTTTAAATGCTAATGACAGTCTAGTTCTTAAGTATGTTAGTCAGCTTTTTGTGTGACTGTATTTATGGAAACTGAAGGTTATTATAATAGTTTAAAATACTGTTGTGAAGTGACAAAAGAAAATAGCAAGTTATATGTTATGGGGAAAATTATTTGAAATGTCATGTGTTGATTAATGTTTGTAACTTCATTTGGAGCAATGTTATCAGTATATGTTGCTGTTCTACTGTAGTGAGCATAGAAATTGTATTGCTACATTTTAAAACTTAATGAAAGAACTCTTATCATTACATACCTAACTGTTCTGTGTATTTTTTTAAAGAATTATTCTTGAAAATGTTTTTCAAAACTTAGAAATACGTGACATGAGAGGTCAGCCTGTACAATCATTCCCTTTCAAAGATCCTGACCTCTGCAGAAGCTGGAGTTGAGATCATATTGTTAGTAATAATAGAGTAAGGAATAGAGTCTGATGCCTGGACTCCATTCAGCATCCTTAAATAATCAATTAATACATTTATTTTCAAAATATTCACTAAATGTTTTACATTCAATTAGGGACTATAAATAAAAGCTAAAAATGTTACTGTCTAATGGGAAAGAAAATATGTATATATAAGAGTTACCTGAAAGGCAAAATACAAGTGCTGACATTATGGAAAGTGGAATTAGAACTCTAAAAATTGCTGTATGAAAATGTTTGATTTGAAAGTTGCTTAAAAATGTCAAGTCAGTTAAGATTTCAGATTCAGTTAGCACCAAGCTTCAGAAAGATAGGTGATTCCAGTGCTCAGTTCTAACAATATTCCGGAAGAGTAAAGTTAGGCATAAACATAATTTAGAAGGGTCTTGGTTAGCTTTGACTGTCTGGTTCCTGTGTTGTACTCTACCAAAACTTGTCCCTCTATTAGAATAAACATTTTCTGGGGTAAGACCTAAAAGTTAGATGAGATTCCATCTTCATCTCCACAGGTTTTGGAGATAACATTAAGTTGAGTACCTGTTGTTCTGCTATAGTGAATTAGGAAATTGTATTGATGTATCTCAAAACTTAATGAGAGAATAACTGGTACTATTATATATATGTATTTAACTGTTCTGTGTTTTTAAAATTACTCTTGAAGATATATCCCTTTTAAAATTAGAGGGTAGTTATTTAAACATCAGCTAATATGCAGAAGCATAAACTTTTAAAAATATGTTATGATAAACTTCTCAGTTTTAAAGTTTTAAACTCTTGTCAGTTAAGTTTGTTTTACTTATCCAGTCTTTTATTTTTTATTCCAGCCTCAGTCACCAACACAAAAAACACATGCCACTTCTTTTAACTTGGGAAGGTTTTTTAATTCATTTTTAAAAATACTATACCACCAGGTTGCCTATGGGGCTTTGTGTTATACATTCATTGCAAAAATGTTGAGGCCCATGGGTGAAAAGTGTTGGTAGATATTTGGATGTAGATTCTTTCATGACTGCAAGTCGTAAGGTTTTCATGTGACCTAGTGTTCACATATGATCTTTGAATGTTTTCCAGAGTATCTCTCTGTTCTTGAAAGTCAATAGGAATTATGCATTTGAAAGTCAATAGGAATTAACCAAAGAAAGTCACCAGTAAACTAGGTTCAACAAAAATGCAAGTTTCTTAACAACTAACATTTTTTGAGGACTAATATATGCCAGGTTCTCTAATGCTTTGCATGTATAAACTTTTACTTAATCTTTTTAAACTTGAAGTACTTGAATTCTTTCCTCATTTACAGATGAGGAAACGAAGGCTCTGAGAGCCTACCTGACTTACTTAAGGTTGCATAGCTAATAAGTCAAAAAGCAACATTTATGAAATTCTAACCACTTTGCTGAAAAGTCTCTATATCCAATAGACTAGCCAATGCCAAGATACACAGAATAGCTTACACTTTATTTTATTTCAGTTTATTATCAATTATAGCACATTTCAGTTTTCAAACATGACTTTATTTGCTATATTAAAATCTTAAATGAAAAAGATTTTTTTTTTCTTGTACCATTCTCTGGATTCAGTTTCGTCATCATTAAATTATCTTTTCAGATTCATACTTAAAGGCTTCATTACTACAGTCCTTATATTTATTTTTTCCCATTTATAAATGTATACTTTTTCTTCTTACCAAATAGTCAATCAAAAAATTATTATTTGAACTTGCATTACCATTTAAAAAGTATCAGCAAATTTGCATTTCACCGTGATTTAAAGTAGCGCTGTCCAGTCAAACTTTCTGTGATAATGGAAGTGTTCTCTACCTGTGCTGTTCACTTAGTTACTAGCCACATGTCTAGTGAGCACTGGAAATGTGACTAGTACCACCGAGAAACTGTATCTTCAACTTACACTTGGGTAATTAGTGTTTGGTATATTGGACAACACAGGTTTAGAACATAGCTGTTTTTGCATTTAATAAAAATGCCAACCCATCTTTCTGTCATCTTGGTTATTTGTGGATCCTTACAAGTGTGTGTAGATGAAAGGATTGTTGGATTTAACTTTTCTCATTTAAGAATTAACCAGTTTCTTTAGCATTTCCTCAGAATAAGCATTTATAAACTTAGTGAACAAATTATTATAGTTCAATAATTTGTGTATAATTTATTAACTACAAAGTTAAATTCTTTCTGGGGCTGTACTAGAATTAAAATTTTGTGGTTTTTAATAATCTCAGTGATATTCTCTTATTGGAAAAATTTTTATAGATTTAAATGTTGATGAACAACAAATTTAGTGATTTCTTATATCTTATTATGTCTTTGCACCTTTCAGTTATCAAAGGAAAATTAGTAGCAGATATTTGTTCCAATTCAGTAGAATGCAGAAGTACTTGAGAAGTCTTTCTTGGGTGTAAGACAAGTAAAGTCAAACAATCAGTTATGCAGTTTTGATGATAAATACATATGATCTCATCTAGTTCCATGATTCTGTGATTCTGTTGGTACGGATTGTCTCTACTGTATCAAATTATCTCATGTTCAGGAACCATTTTTCCTATTCTCCTCCCCAGTGTCCTTCACTTAGGCTGTAGACAGATTGTTGCTTTTTCATTGCCAGCAGCAGGATAATTAGAGACATGAAAGCCAGCTTAGAAGAGTAAGCCATGGCTGAGTGACAGAAGCAGCATGTGAGAAGGTCCTAGGTAAGCCAGGATAGCTATTAAGATCCTGTCAGATAATTAATAGTTGACCATAATTCATTGTGACATTCCATTAAATTAATTTTTAAAAATGAGTACAATTTATGAAATTGTATATCTAGGTGATAAATGTCTGTATACATGGGTGATCAAATTTCCTCAGATTAATAAATCTTAAATTTTTAATGAAAAACATTGTGCTAAATATAAAAATGTGAAATTTATGAAAGGTAAATATACTTAGGTCAGTATATTATTTTGAGTAATCTTACTTGTAAATGTATTCCTTCAAGAATGTTCTGTATAGTTCTTTTTTCATTGCTTCATTCCTTTATTCATACACATAATTGAGCTCCTAAAATGTGACAGACTCTACACAAGATTATAGGAATAAAGATTGAATAGGACACAGTACCTGCTCAGGGTGCCCATATTCCAGAAGGGGAAGAGAGACATGTCAACAAATATATGAAACCTGTCATGAATCCTTTCATTAAAGTTCAGTGGGAGAACCAAGGGAAAGAATGGTCGTTTCCACTGGGATGGGGAGGATGAAGTTCAAAAAGTACTTCAAAGAGAAGTTGAGCCTTGAGTTGAGCATTGAAAATTATAAATGTTCATCAGATGGATTATAGGAGGAAGGGTGTTATAAGTAGGCAGAACATGGTTAAGTGAAGATGCCAAGGAGTGAAACCATGTAGCATATTCAGAATAAGGAAGTTACCCATTATGACTAAATGGTGGAATGTGGGGTTGGTGATAGGAAGAGGGGGACATTGGCCGGGCGCGGTGGCTCAAGCCTGTAATCCCAGCACTTTGGGAGGCCGAGGCGGGTGAATCACGAGGTCAAGAGATCGAGACTATCCTGGTCAACATGGTGAAACCCCGTCTCTACTAAAAATACAAAACATTAGCTGGGCATGGTGGTGCGTGCCTGTAATCCCAGCTACTCAGGAGGCTGAGACAGGAGAATTGCCTGAACCCAGGAGGCGGAGGTTGCGGTGAGCCGAGATCATGCCATTGCACTCCAGCCTGGGTAACATGAGTGAAACTCCGTCTCAAAAAAAAAAAAAAAAAAAGGAAGAGGGGGACATTGTATAATGATAGATGAGACTGAAGAAATGGGCAGAGGGCCACATAGTGGAGAGAGTTTGAATTTCATCTTTTAGACACGAAGGATATATTGTACGCTTGGAAATAAGAGAGAAACATGATACAATTTGGGCTTAAAAGAGGTTACTTTGGTGGTGATGTAAAGATAAATCATCAGGGAGCAAGTGTAGTAGAGGCAAGATCAATTATAAGACTCATATGATAATTTGGGTGAGGGATTTTGAGGCTCTGAACCAAGGTAGTAGAGGTAGGGATGGAGAAAAGGATCTGAAATGGGAGAAATTTGAAAAATTGAGCAGAATGTATTTTAGTGATGGCATCTGTGAAATGAGGAAAAGGAGGATTGGGGATAACACATTAAGTTTTTAGCTTCAATGTTTTGGTAGATGGGTTGTAACACCAGTAATAGAGTCAGAAAATGAATACAGAGGGCAGGATTATATTGGGGAGAGGAGTGGGGACATATTGAACTTGGGATACCCATGGCATTTCTGATAAATGATAGCTTATTGGTTATCACACATGTGGATTGTCTTTTATCTCCCAGCCTTGGGGGAAAATGACCTCAGCTGGTCAAGGGACCTTTTCCACGTTTTATCTTCATTTTACTCCTCTTTTCTAAGACAACTGTTTGGAAACTATAGAAACTAAACATCTGGCATAACTTACATAAATTAAGAATTTTATATACTGAAAGTTCCACCTTTTTGTTTGGAAAAGAGGAAAGCCAAAGTACTGAAAAGAACAATGTAACTTTTAAAGAAACAAAATAACTTAAAATAATAAAATATTTCTTTTATAATTTAGGTGTGTGTCCTCTAAGGTATTGAGTTTTGTAGTTATGCAGGGTAATGGAAAGAACATGTAAAATATAGTACCAACATCTGTTATGTACTAAGTAAATGTCAGTTTTATTCCCCTAGAGTCCTTTAAAATAGATATTTAAAAGTTCAGGTGTAATTTAGTAGTAAAATCATAAACTGAGAGTAAGAAAAATCTAAATCCTTTTTTTCTAATACGTTCTAATACCTCACTTTGGATAAATGTTTTAATATCTCCAAGTGATGGTACAAAATTGAGAGGGATGAATTAGATAATGACACTGTGATCTCTTCTTCCAGCTTTATAATCCAATGCTCCTGTTATATTTATTAAGAGAAAAAAAATCCACTTAGGAAGCAGCAAGATTTGGGAATAAATCATAGTGCTCGCAAAATGTGTGGGCAGAGAAGTGGCAAATGATCCTCAATTGAGCAAATAAATATATGGTAATATATTTAGGGAAAACTTTTGATCTGCAATTTAAGAATGATAGTCTCCGACAAGAGTGTCCTTGACAGGCAGGGAGGGCTAGGCTGTGCATCCCTCTGCTTGCTCTGGAAGGAGATGGCTCAGCAACTTCTGAGGAGGTTCCTGGCCTCGGATGTCTCCAGGAAGCCCTCTCAGGGTTGGTGGCAACCCGTCCCTTCTGAAACCCTGCAGACCCCACAGTCCTGCTGGCCTAACTGTTAACACCCAACCCAGCCTGGACAATATACACCATCAGGATCTCCTCAACGACCTTTAATATCCAGGATGGACCTGACTTTCAAGACGAAGTGGTCAATAGTGAGACGCCAGCGGTTTTGGATTTCCACGCACAGTGGTGTGGACCCTGCAAGATCTTGGGGCCGAGGTTAGAGAAAATGGTGGCCAAGCAGCATAGGAAAGTGGTGATGGCCAAGGTAGACGTTGATGACCACACATATCTTGATATTGAGTCTGAGGTGTTGGTGGTGTCCACTGGGTTGGCCATGAAGAATTGGAGACATGGTGGACAAGTTTGTGAGCATCAAGGATGAGGATCAGCTGGAGACCTTCCTGAAAAAGCTGATTGGCTGACAAGCAGGGACGAGTTCTGGTTCTCTTCCCTGAGTGGGACCCCAATAGAACTTAGCCCTTCCATGTGGGCCCTTCCTGCTGCCTCCCACATGCCTTTTGTCCCCTCCCTCCAGGGCCTGTGGCAGTTCTCCCAGGATGCATGGAGAGAGACCGGGCCAGCCAACAGTGCTCCTGGTCAGGCAGTCACACTTTGGTCCTCATCTCTGGTCCTTCCAGTCTGAAGCCTCATGCATGGCTTGTCTGCCACCTGCATTTCTCTTTCCTGCTGCTGTTTTGTAAAAAGAAAAAGAAAGAAAAAAGCCCAAATTAGTGAGAGTAATATATAATTTTATCATTTTTGTAGGTCTGTAATGAAGTTAGTCATCCCTTCCACCACCTACTGTGAAGAGCAGACCCTGGGTACCACCCTGAAACCCCCTGTAGTCACCCATCCCCACCCTCCAAAGAGCCCCGTACCACCTAGCCTCCCAGGCAGGGGGGCAGAAAATGAGTGATGGGCCGAAGAGCCCTGGAGAGCTTTGACTCTGGAAGGCTCCAGGCACCTCCTTCGCTCCAGGCACCTCCTTCGCCCATTGGTCCTCTGAGCAGAGAGCTTAACTGAACAAATAAGACCAATAAAGCAAGGGTCTGCACCTAAAAAGACAAATTTATGAATCACTGTACTGATGTTTGAAGATATTTTCATGTTGTACTACAGGTAAAGGAACCATCAAAATGTTTACCATCAGGGTAGAGTGTTAGAAATAAAACATGAAACATTCTACCCTTACGTGAAACCATTAGTGTGCTAGTGTGCTATGTGTAGTTGTGGTGTTTTATGTATAGCAGAACCAGAGAAAGTTTAGATCAGGGGCAGCTAATAGGAGTAAGAGCATGGGAGGTCTACATTGTGTGTGAATAAACTATATATATATATAGTTTGTTTAATCTAGAAAAATTAGGGTTACATGACTAAAGTGTGTAAAATCAAGAAACAGGAGAACTCATGGACTATTCCTCCAAACTTATAAAAGCTAGTTAGTTGTAGAATAAGTAAAATGAATTATAGTAAAATCTTGATATAAACTGGGCTTAGACACTAAAGGTGTTTAACTGATTAGTCATTTATGTTTAAAGGTGAAACACATGCGTTTACAAATTTAGGTAGTATTTTTAGCAATTTAAAAAGCTAGAAAATTTTAATGCTTTTTTTTCTCTTAATTATTTTTATTTTTATTTATTTATTTTGAAACAGAATTTTACTGTGTTTCCCAGGCTGGACTCAAACTCCTGGGCTCAGGCAATCTTCCTGAGTAGCTGGGACTGCAGGTGTGTACCACTGAGGCTTGTTTTTTTACTCTTTTTATAGGTTTTATAATCTCTGCAGTGCAGAGATTATAAAAGTGCAGCCCTCAGCTCTTGTCTAAAGAATCATCAGTATTCATAAGATAGGTCTTTTTTTTTGATAATACTAAGCAAATAGTATTATGCAAATACATTGTTTCCCCTGATAGGATGATATAGCTTAAATTGCTTTTGGTGGATTTCTTTACTTTAACCTGGTATAATTATTCATTTGGTTTATTTTTGTTTCCTAACCAATGAAATAGGGAGTAAAGAGTTGTCTTCCTGTAGCTCATAGTCTGGTAAAAGATTTAGACAAGTAAAAGCACAATTATGAGAAGGTCATAGGAAGTGGATTATAGGACGTGTTTTTTTGTAATGTGAATTAGATTCAGTAATGCTGTGTATCTATGCAGAATATTTTCCGAATCAAATTTGGGATTCTTATAAGAGAGAAATGCACTAGTTGAATTGATACACTAGCATAATTGAAATTAGTTGTGCCTTAGAAAATCCAATGTAGATGCCTTATCTTTTTTGTGGCCTGGTGTAACAAGGTATGAAGTCCCAGGCTCTGTGGCCATAGTTTAATGTTATATTTACTGTTGTCTTCTATTCATATGTTAACTTTTCAGAGACACCTGAAACTTGTTTTGTTGTAAGACAACTGTGGAATCTAAACCTTGTGACAAACCTGTTTTCTTGATCTGGACTTTGTCCTTAGAAAATTAAAGAGACTGTCTTCTTATCTTATTAGAGTCCTATTTAATAAAATAAATATTCCATTTCTGTACTGTATTCTTCTTAGGTAGATGACCATATAGTATCAGCCGGCCATTGTTGTATGTGAGCCACAAACTTGAGAGAACATGTTGGTACAGGTAATTTGAACCTTACCTGGGACTGTCAACTAGAGCAACTACACATGACCTCTACATGTGGCTTGAGCCTCATAACATGGTGACTAAGTTCCAAGAAGGAGGGAAAGAGCCAGGTAGAAGTTGTATCACCTTTTATGACCTAGCCTCCAAAGTCAAGCAGCATCACTTCAGCTGCATTCCGTTCATTGAGTCACTTAAATGAGTGTATCAAGGGAAGGTAAATTAGAGTTTTCCCTTTGATGTAAGGAGTTAGAAAAATTTGGGGACCACATTTCACATCTTTTTCTGCAAAGCCAGTCCCTCCGCTATTACTTTGGATCCCAGCCCCTCCTGTTTTCCATGGAGTCTTATGTATTCTTGTCTTTTATATCTATAATAATATGTCTTCTCGTTTATTTAAAAAATGTATACCTCTTTCCCCTTCACTTTCAGTTTTCTCTTTGACCCTACTTTCTCTTTCCCTTTCTCATCTCTCATGTACTAAAGTGAAATGGCATAAGATTTACAGTATATGTGGTCAAATCAGTTGACTTTGGTGGCCAGGCAGGTAACTTTAATGTGTCCTAGGTAAAACCTGAGACGAGAAGAAAGACAAAAGAGAAAAGTGTTCTTTTTCTGTTCTTGCTATGTTATAGTTACTTACAATCAAGATACAGAAAACTTAAATTTAATGTAGCTCAGCTTTTAGAATACAATTTGGTTGAATGTTGTGATCTGCAAATTAATGTTTAAGTATTAACATGAAGTTATATGAGGTATGTAACCACATAAAAAAGGTCAAACTGGGTTACTTGCACAACCTGGCTTAAAATATAAGAACCTATTCTCTAAATACCTTTAGAATCTTTGACTTAACAATTTTTTGGTTCTTTATGATTTGATTTAACTTTCTTGTTTTTTGGTTTTTGCTGTTCTTTTGAGACAGGGCCTCACTCTGTTGCCCAGGCTGGAATGCAGTGGTGCAATCACTCCCTGCAACTTCTGCCTCTTGGGCTCAGATGATCCTCCCACCTCACCCTCCTGAGTAGCTGGGACTATAGGCATGTGCTGCCATGCCTAGCTAATTTTTGTATTTTTAGGAGAGATGGGGTTTTGCCATGTTGGCCGAGTTGGTCTTGAACTCCTGGGTTCCAGCGATCCACCCACCTCAGGCTTCCAGAGTGCTGGGATTACAGGCATAAGCCACCACAACCTTCTTGTTCTATTACTCACACAGGTTTAGCATGAGAAGCAAACATGTTAATGACTTCTTATCTTTAATCTTTATTGTACTCAAAGACATCAGTGACCCAAAAATCTTCAAATGTTTTTTCCCAGTGATTTCTGTGACAATAACAAACAATGGAAGCTGTAACTTTTTGGGTTTCTGTTGATTGGTTTTTGTTTTGATTTACTTTATAATATTCTGTGCAATAGAATTACGAAACTATGTTACAGTAGTACTATTTTCAAGTAAGATTTAATTAAAGTATAACATACATTTCAAAAGTATTCAAATCCTAATTTATAGGTTGATGAATTTGATAAAGTTAACACCTGTGTGAATTATCACCCATACCAAGAGATAGAATATTATTGAAACCCCTGAAGCTTCCCTCCTACCTCTACCCAATTATTACTAGACTTAAAATGTGGCATACTGCATCATGTTTTCCTTTGTGACTGCCTTCTTTCACTCATGTATTTGTGACACTTATGCATGTTTTTGTCATAGCAGTGGTTTATTAGTTTTCACAGATATATATCATTGTATAAAAATATAGCAAAACCTATCTTTTCTATGATTGATGTAAATTTGGGTTGTTTCCAGTTTGGGCCTCTTACGAATAATGCTTTGAACTCACTTGTACATGATTTTTGGTAAATACATGTATGTTTTGATGAATACGTATTTGATGAATGTATTATATATATACTGATATGCATACATGCGTATATACATGGATGTGTGTCTTTGTGTGTGCATGAGAGAGAATGATAATTGAATTAATTACTGGATTTCTAGGTCACAGATCATGTGGTTCTGGTAAATACCGCCAAGTAAATTTTCAGATTGGTTGAACCTATTTCTAACCAGCAGTGCGTAGGGTTTTAGTCACTCCACATCTTTTCCAAACTTGATGTTTTTCATATATCTAGTTATACCTATCCTGGTGAACATATCCTGGTTATAATTTGTACATCCCTAATGACCGATAGTGTTGATTACTTTTTCATGTCTGTATTGGTCATTTGGATATTGTCTTTTTATATAATTTTTTTCAGGTAGTTCCCCATCCCTTTTTTGGGGTGTTCTGTTGTCTTTTTCAAAAAAATTGATTTGTAGAGTTATTTAACTTGGGTACAGGATTTTGTTCCCCAGAGATATGTACTACAAATGTCTTCTTCCATTTCATAGCTTGCCTTTTCACTTTCTTAACAATGTCTCCTTCATACTATTTAATATTTTCAAATTTAAAAATAATTTACAAATAATTTCCTTTATGATTTTTGTTTTATTTGGCCTTCTTCTTTAAGAAGTTCTCACTACCCTAGAGTTACAGATATTTTCCTATATTAGGTTTAGAAGCTTTGTTTTACCTTTCATCTTTAGAACTACAGTCTATCTGGAGTCAAATGTGTGCATCTCTGTCTTTCTCTCTCTCTCCGTCTCTGTGTTTGTGTGTGTGCATGTGTGTGTATGTATATGTGTCATGAGGTAGGACTCATTTTTTAATATCAGTATTTGACATATCATCATTTTAAAAGGAAAAAGAAATCGTCCCTTTCCCAAAGCATTGTAATGACATTTTTGTTATCAAAGGCTGAATATATTTGGTTTACTTCTTTTCTGTTCCATGGGTATTGTCTGTTTTAGTGTCAGTACAAAGCTGCATGAGCTCATGTAACTTTATAATAGAAGTCATCATAGTCAGTAGTATAAATCCTAAAGCTTCATCCTTCACAATAATTTTAAATATTCTTTCTTTTTGAATTTCCTTTAAGAATTTTAAGTCAGCTTGTCAATTTCCACATACATAGTTATATACACTAACCTTGTAGGAATCCTAATTAAGATTGCATTGAATCTAATTAGTAGTTTGAGAAGTAGTTTGAATCTAATTAGTAGTTTGAGAAGAATTTTTCTCTCTATGATATTGAATTTTTAAGTCCATGAAAAGTATCTCTCCATTTATTTAGATCTTCTTTCACTTCTTCTAGTAATTATTTGTAATATTCTGTAACTTCTTTTAGTCATGCTTTGTAATATGCTGTTTAAATTTTAAATATAATTTTAAAATTACATTTATTTTAGTTTTACATGCTTTTTTATGTTACTATAAAGGTTATCCTTGTCAAAGTTTTATCTTCTAATTTTTCATTGTGAGTATATAAGCATTGAGTTAGAAATTTTATGCCGACCTATCTAGTCATCTTGCTAATTTTATTA